TTTTATATTAATGATTTAGCCTACGCGCTGACACCTGCACCACAATATATTCATTATTTCCATTAAAATATAATATTACTAGGGTAATTGATTTATATATTTAACTAGGGTAAATGATTTATATATTTTTATATTTTTATATTAATGATTTAGCTTACGCGCTGACACCTAAACCAAACTATATTAATTATTTCCATTAAAATATAATATTACTAGGGTAATTGATTTATATATTTAACTAGGGTAAATGATTTATATATTTTTATATTTTTATATTAATGATTTAGCTTACGCGCTGACACCTAAACCAAACTATATTAATTATTTCCAGTAAAATATATTGATACTAGGGTAAATGATTTATATTTTTATATTAACATTAATATCGTAAATAAATTTAAAATGTAAGCTATGCTATTTATATTATAACAACCCAACAACATATTATTATATACTCGACACAAATGAGTGATAATATATATATATATAAATATATATAATATAACGTTTAGATATTAAACAATACTCAAAATCATATTAGATTAGTTGATAAAATTTTAAATTAATTAGCTTTAGTGATCAATTCAAGTTTTAATGTTTAGCGAGTAAATTAAGTCGTTCATTTGCTTATCTTGATTTAATTTTACCGAAAAATTCAAAGTTCAAGCCTAAATTAAAATCTGAATATTAAATTGTTATTTATGGATTTGTTAATTATGGATTTATGAATTTGAACTATTTTTCATTCAATTATCTTACTTACGTTCAATTTTTATTATCAACGAGATTCGGGATGAAGGGATTCAAAATAATGGGACTCTAAAATTGCAGAAATTTTGCCTGAAAACTTTGAAAAATTGTTTTAGATTTAATTTCAGATGAGATAAATTTAATAATTCGATGGAACAGGAAGTCCGCTGCAAAAATACTAAATCACCAACTTTGGGATTTTTTTTTTCCCGGAAATTTATTTGTATAAATGTCGAAAAGAAGTCATTCGTGCGGTAAAGCACCAACTTAGAGTTTTATTTTTCCTTGAAAAATTATTAGTAAAAATATTAAAATTATTATTAAAATATTTATGCGGCAATTTATTCATTAATTGATGAATAATTATATGACCTGGTGAACCGGGATCTGTGGGAGCGCAAGAACACTGAGAACCACAGGTGGCTGTCCGCCATGTTCTTGGAGGACACGTTCTGGAAGAGGTGGCCAAAAGAGGTGCTGTCCTCCCGACAGGCCACCGGCAGCAGGCGGTCCAGCTGAGGGGAGTGAGGGGAGTGAGGGGAAAGTGGGTGGGAGTGAGGGGATGAGTGAAGGGGGCAGTCAAGGGAAGAAAGGAGAGAAAATGAGGGGCATGAGCGAAAGGGAAGTCGAGAAAAGTGAGGGGAAGGGAGGAGGAAATGAGGAGCATGAGAGAAGGGGAAGTCGAGGAAAGGTAGTGGAAGGGAGAAGTAAATGAGGGGCATGAGTGAAAGGGAAGTTGAGGAAGTGAGGGGAAGGGAGATGGAAATGAAGGGCATGAGAGAAGGGAAGTCGGGGGAAATAAATAAATAGGGGGCATGAGTGAAGAGGGCTGTCAAGGGAAGAAAGGAGGAGGGAGAGTGAATGAGGGGCATGCGTGAAGGGGAAGTTGAGGAAGTGAGGGGAAGGGAGATGGAAATGAAGGGCATGAGAGAAGGGAAGTCGCTGGAAGTGAGGGGAATGGAGGAGGAAATGAGGGGCATGAGCGAAGAGGAAGTGAGGGGGAATGAGGGGAGAGTGGGAGAGAGCGAGGGGATGAGTGAAGGGGCTGTCAAGGGAAGAAAGGAGAAGGGAGAGTAAATGAGGGGCATGAGTGAAGGGGAAGTCGGGGGAAGTGAGGGGAATGGAGGAGGAAATAGGGGGCATGAGTGGAGAGGCAGTTAGGGGAAGTAATAGGAAAGGAGTTGGAAAATGAGAGGTGTGATTGAAGGGCATGAGTGAGAGTGACAAAAGATGACAGTCCTTTTGAACAGAAGATGTATAGTGTGGGTCGTTGGCAGGGAGGGTGGGACACTTAATCAGGAATCTATTTGTTCAATAGTATATAAGTATATTCCGTGTTGTCATAGATAACAAAATAAACTAAATGTGTTGACGTATAACAAAAAGTCCAGACACCGACCACGCCCGTCTTCTCGACGGCCAGCCAGTCGTTGCAGATGAATTCAAACTTCTCCCCGGTCTGTACGTCCCTGAAGACCACGAAGCTTAGGTACCAGGAGGCGTTGGGGCCTTTGCCGGAGTTGTCGTGCCAGATACGCAGGTACTGTAGCGGCCCCAACGGCCTGTCACAGATACGCTTCGTTAGCATATATAGGGTCTAGATACTCGGGTACTGTAGCGGACCCAACGGCCTGTCACAGATACGCTTCGTTAGCATATATAGGGTCTAAATACTCGGGTACTGTAGAGGGCCCAACGGCCTGTCATAGATACTCTTCGTTAGCATATATAGGGTCTAGATACTCGGGTACTGTAGCGGGCCCAACGGCCTGTCACAGATACGCTTCGTTAGCATATATAAGTACTCTAGGGTCTAGATGGGATACTGTGGCGTGTCTGTTGCGATTAAAACTAAATTATTTTCTGTAACCAAGAATTTTGGCTTGGCACATCACTAGTGGGCGCCTCGTTTCCCCTGCGCACATTTATTGTATCTGGTGAAGCTGTTCACGTCTAAAAGCCTCAATGGTGAACACTTCTGCAGTGTGGTTCCTCCGTAACACTTGCACGCCCCCACCTGATTAAGAGATATTGCTCAAGAGCTCATAGTTTGGTCCTGAGAGATGCCACATCTTTCACCAGGCATTGGTCTTGCAGAAGGCGTCGCAACCATAAACCAAGATGATCAATAATAAAAGTTTCTCCACTAAGCTAACTCCAAAGCTCCTAAAAACCTCATAATTTTTCCACTTTCCCTCACCGGTCATTGGCCATGACAAAGGCGTCGGTGGCCGCCTTCCTGAAGATGGGGCGGCGTGAATCGCCAAAGGTGCGGACGTCGGACTCGCCGAGCTCGCCGGACACGACGAACTGCACCACTGAGTCCGTCTGTGCTTCCTTCTTGTTGCCAGTGATCACCAGCACCTCGTACAGGTACTTGTCTTCCAAACGGTTGTCGGGCAAGGGCGCAGCCCCAACCTGTTAACGGTTAACGGGTAAGGGAGCGGTTGTTCGGGCAGGGGCGCCAACTCAACCTGTAAACGGTTAGCGGGTGACAGGGCAGTTGTTCGGGCAGGGGCGCTGCCCCAACCTGTTAACGGTTAACGGGTAAGGAAGCGGTTGTCGGGCAGTAGCGCCGCCTCAACCTGATCGCGCTTAACGGATTTGGAAGTAGGGGTAGTAGCCCTAGCACGCTCAGTTCATATTTAACGTAATAGGAAGAAGGCACAGCACTTTTAGCTCGATAGGTTCACGGTAAGCGGATAAGAAAAAGGAAACAGCTGTTCTACCACATCAGCTCACGGTAAACGGATAAGAAAAAGGGAACAGCAGTTCTACCACATCAGCTCACGGTAAACGGATAAGAAAAAGGGAACAGCAGTTCTACTACATCAGCTCACTTTAAACGGATTAGAAAAAAGGAGCAGCAGTTCTACCATATCAGCTCACGGTAAACGGATCCACCTCGTCCTGGGCCTTTACTTTCAAAAAAAGTTAAGAGATAGTAAGTTCATCAGCCAATCACTGACGGCCTTTCAAGCAAAATTCACCAATCATAGAAAAGAAAAAAGAGCGTAAGTACTTACGTTCGCTTAGCGAGTTTCGAAAGTATGGCCCCTGCATTACACGTCCTTCAGTCCCCTACCTTCTTCTCGTCCTGTATGTCGCTTCGTCTCGCCCAGACGAGGAGCAGGACGAGCAGGGCTAGACAGACGATGAGCGTGACGTAGATGGTGAGGTTGTCCGTGAAGCCCAAGTGAGCGAAGACGAAGCTGAAGTCGATGGTGTTAGGCATGACCACGAGACCCGCCCCGAACGATGTCAGGTGGTGTACGTGGCACGTGGTGCGTGTGTTGTTCGTGTGGATCACCTGTGCGTGGTTGCGATGAATCAAAAGTTTGCAGAGACTGGAATGATAATTTTGACTTAATTTAAGATAAAAATCTTAAGAGCACGCATTAACTGCAGCCTAAAAATCGTGAATCGATTCGCATAGAGAGAATTTATAATTAGTACATTTTGTACCAACAGGAACAAGCCTTCGATATAATTATAGAGATATCAGTAACTCTTACCTTCATGTCAGGGTTGACCCACTCATCCACAGGTGGTTTCCTGAAGTAGCAGGCAGAGACAATAACCCGCAGCTGGTAGTCGGTGGTGATGTTCGACAGATGGTCCATGGTGAGGTTTCGTGGTCTGCCTCTGAGGTCACTGGGTACGTTTGCCTTGAACTGCCCCACGGCCAAATAATACGCACCTCGGCCTAACAGCTCCTCGCTGTTCAGGAACAGCATCCGCACAGCTGCAAGGCATAGCGGTTTCAGCGTTATTAGGCCGTAGGCCTGTCGCCGATTCTTAACATCACAGAACATTCACAGCCTTTTGCGGGTCTCGAACTCGCAACTCACTGCTACAATTCTGCTGTGCTTAACCGCCCGGCCTCCTCGCCGATTCTGACCAGAAACTGGCGCACAGAGCTGGGATCGAACCCGCGCCTCTCTGCGCCAATCTTGGTACTCTGTACTGTAACCACTGGGCATACAACGTATTTCAGGCCTATTGTCTCCCTTCAAACATGTCAATATTCGTAAAAACATGTAATTTGCTTCAATTCAGACATTAATATTATAAAGTTTGCTGAGAAAAATTCTCAACCTGACTTCTTGAAGCACTACGATGAAGAAGTAGTCCTAAGTCGCTCATATATGACCGAGCTGTCGATTGCGTAAAAAGCATTCCAATGAACGTAAAGTTTCCGTTACCAGCTCAATTTCTTGCCATTTCCTCTGCTATATGATTTTGACGTAGAATTATAGTTTCCGGATTATTTCCTGTATCTTAACAGTGGTTATATTTGTTGTGCATAACGTTTGATATACATATTATATATGTTATCATTAATTTTCGGGTGCACGTTTTTTTCACTTCTTGTTGCACGCTTTCGCTCGCCCCTCACATATCAGTGAACGTTTCCTGTTATGAATTTATATTCAAAGTCAATTACAGAATTTTTTGCAACAAAATCTTTATGTGGGCACTGTTTACGCTCTATATACCGTGTATCATTAATTAATAAATCAATGAAAAGGTCCATTAGATTGGCGGGCAACTAGAGTAGCCGACAATTTAACTCTAGCCGCCTTTACTCTAACATACGTTCTTGCCAAAGTGTTCAATTCTAAAATTATGAAGAATTTTTACCTACGGAACTTCAGCGGCATTTGAATTTCTGGACCTTGCTTTACGGTTTATTGTGAATAGATAGGTTTTTATGCCCTATTACTTGTAAATTATGTTCTAATTGTGTTCTGTGCTTTCAATTGTATTAACTTGTGACTTTCTATGTATGTTCTAGATTCTACGAACTGACGATGGAGCTGGACTCCGAAACGTTTTCTATAAAGATATGAATTTTTGTGGACTATTCTTTGCTTTTAAATTTTTAGTCAACTTGCGATTTAAGCAAATAAGTGACATTAATACGGTTTATTACCTTATGAAGTGCAGCTGCGTTTAATTCTTTGACTTCATACTTGCCTCACCCGCACCTTACATCTAGAAGCGCTGTTATGCGCCCTTACCGAAGTCATTGTGATGGGCGTCGTAATGGTAGCTACAATGAAACACGCGTCATAACATATCGGACATATTAAAAAAATTAAATGAATGAAGTGACTTGTGAATGACTTCGTTATTAGCGAATGAATTGTGAATGAATTGCACGAGAAAAATAACAGGGCTGTGACTCACAAGCGTTCTCGCGAGTAGGCAACTGTTGCAGGAGGCGGAAGAAGGAATGGTTCGCTTACAAGAGAGTTATATATAGTCTCAATAGTGACTTATGAATACACTGTTAGAAAAATGACCGTTAACGGTATTACCGGCATTTGAGTGGCCGGTCGGCACGTGAAAAGAAACACCGTTTCAACGTTTTTATTCCAATTTAACACCAGAAATCCGTAAAACACCTGATAAAAACGGCGAAACAGTTTATTTTCACGGGGCGACCGGCCACTAGGATGCCGGTGGGACCGTTTTTTCACCGTTTTTTCTAACAGTGTAGCGTTATTACCAAACCTTCAAAATGAATCGCACGAGAAAAACAACAGGGCTGTGACTCACAAGCGTTCTCGCGGGTAGGCAACTGTTGTAGGAGGCGGTAGAAGGAATGGTTCTTGAACGTCGGCATGCGATCCTTGGCCAACATGAGGAACATGTCGGGGTTCATCTTCACCGGGGCCACCTCGATCCTTACCGAGGTCAGCGACTGCAGGGTAAGAAGACATGTTCATCATTTGTTCATTAATGATATGAAGGTATGTTCATGAATGATATGCAGATATTTTCATAGATGATATGCAGATATGTTCATGTTCATTAAAGAAATACAGACATCTTTGTTAATAACATATATTTTCATTCATGATATGCAGATATTTTCATTAATGATATGTAGATATGTTCATTCATGATATGCAGATATGTCCAATAATGAAATGCAGTTGACGTTGCAATAACGTTCAACAAACTTTTTTGTTTCAACAAATTCAACTCGTAAATCAGCCCTTTGGTTTCACCACAATAAGCTCCTGAGCAACGTTGTTTCAAAGTCATTTAACAGTACAGTAAAGATCTATTATTTTTTGGAGAAATATTTCAGATCAATCAGTATTTAGAACATCGTTATGATAATTATTTATATAATTTATTTTAATAAGACGTAATGATACTCACGTCGCTGACGTTGAAGGTGGAGTACATGAGAGGCAGCAGCTGGCGGCCGGACTCATTCACGGCCGCGACGCTTTCGAACGCTGAATGAATGATGAAATGATGAACAGCAGCATGAATGATGAATTAGTGTTACGCTAGAATGATATGGGTCATGAATAATGAATAATGTTACTATATAGAACTTTCAAACTGAATAATGAATAATGTCACTAGGTTTCGAACGCTGAATAAGAGCAGCATGAATGATGAATTAGTGTTGCGCTAGAATGCTATGGGTCATGAATAATGAATAATGTCACTAGGTTTCGAACGCTGAATAACAGCGGCATGAATGATGAATTATGAATATAGTGAATAATGTCACTAGGACAATTTTAGGTGGGCTTCAACCCCTTGAATACATCAATTTAGGCAAATTATCATTTATCAAATTGCTGAATAATAGCAGCATGAATGATGAATTAGTGTTACGATAGAATGATATGGGTCATGAATAATGAATAATGTCACTAGGACAATTTGAGGTGAGCTTCAGTCCTTGAATAATGTTATATAAATTTAAGAAAATTATCATTTATCATATTGCTGAATAACAGCAGCATGAATGATGAATTAGTGTTGCGCTAGAATGCTATGGGTCATGAATAATGAAGAATAACAGCGGCATGAATGATGAATTAGTGTTACGCTAGAATGCTATGGGTCATGAATAATGAAGAATAACAGCAGCATGAATGATGAATTAGTGTTGCGCTAGAATGCTATGGGTCATGAATAATGAATAATATTACTAGGCTGATTTTATTTGGGCTTCAGCGACTTGAATAAGGTTACGTCCATTTAAGCAAATTATCATTTATTTTATTGCTGAACATATCAGCACATATATCATATTGCTGAATATAGCAGCACAAATGATGGATTAGTATTGCGCTATAATGCTCTGGGTCATGAATAATGAATAATTCAATAGTAAATAATAACTTTTGTCCTGGAGAACTTATTCCTGGGCCTATACTTTCAAAAAAAGTTAAGAGATCGTAAGTTCATCAGCCAATCATTGACGGCCTTTCAAACAAAAATCCACCAATCATAGACAAGAAAATGAAGCGTAACTACTTACGTTCACTTAGCGAGTTTTGAAAGTATGGCAGAACGACAGCAAAATTACTGCAAATAATTTTGCTACCAATCAATAGTAGCGTCGTGTGGATGACTGGAAATTTTGTGAAATCGTTATTTTCTGGGGCCATACTTTCAAAACTCGCTAAGTGAACGTAAGTACTTACGCTCTATTTTCTTGCCCATGATTGGTGGATTTTGTTTGAAAAGCCGTCAATGATTGGCTGATGAACTTACGATCTCTTAACTTTTTCTAAAAGTATACTCCCTGGTGCTTTACTTTCAAAACTCGCTATGAGAACGTAAGTACTTACGCTCTATTTTCTTGTCTGTGATTGGTGGATTTTGCTTGAAAGGCTGTCAATGATTGGCTGATGAACTTACGATCTCTCAACTTTTTTTGAAAGTATAGGCCCTGGTCCACACTTTTAACGCAAAAATTATCCTAAGAACTGTTAAACTCGCTGGTAAATTCATCACGCTTTGGTGTCCCTAGACAGATTTTGGGTGGGCTTCATAATGTTATGTCCATTTAAGCAAATTTTAATATATTTAAAAAATGCATACAAATTCAATATAATGTGGCCTGAATATAAGTTTAAATTAACAGTCATACAAACAGTCTTTACTAACTTGAATATGATCCTAAATAATCTTAAGGGGCTTAGCACCTCTGTTCTTCAAACCTGCTTCAAACCGTCGAGAATTTTTTTATTCAATAAACTTCATTCTTCAACCGGTGTGGAAAAACCTAACATCGAGTGGACGAAGCAACAGAAAATTAATATTAAATATTAACAGAATGTGGTGTGGCATGGTGGTGTGGCATGGTGGTGTGGCATGGTGGTGTGGCATGGTGGTGTGGCATGGTGGTGTGGCATGGTGGTGTGGCATGGTGGTGTGGCATGATGTGGCTCACGTGGCATTGTGGTGTGGCATTGTGGTGTGGCATTGTGGTGTGGCATTGTGTGAATCACGTGACACGGTGACAATGAAGAACTAGTTACTGATATTCGTACTAAGAAGACCGCACTGTCAGACCATCGACTAGTGGTGGTCTAGACAACAATTGAGAGGGAAATCCAGCCAAGACCCCCGCCTCGAGAGGGGCTAGCTGGGCTAAATTTTCATCATCGAAGAACAGACTGAGTGGCCATTGGGAACGAAATCCTCGAAAAATGACTGGAGATCTGAGTGCCTGGAGTTAAACGCCGAAGCGATGTGCACCAAGCTGTGGAAGTAGAGGATTATCCAAGAATTATCGACTTATTCGGCTCCCGGGCCAGATGGGGTCTCTGCAGTGTTACTGAAAAAACGTGTCGGTACACTAAAGGTCCTTCTGACTTTGCTCTGGAAAACATCATTGAGAGAAGGAAACATTCCTAGTGAACTAAAATTAGGGCTAATAACATCTATCCACAAAGTAGGTGCGAGAGACAAACCCCAAAATTACAGGACGGTTACATTAACATCATTCGTAATCAAAGTATTTGACAAGGTTGTTGCCAGAAGATTGGGGCAGTAAATGGAAGAGGCTAACCTTTTCAACAGAAGGCAACACGGTTTTAGACGAAATCGTTCCTGTTTGTCTCAGTTACTGGAGCATCACCACCAAATCCTGGCCATGCTGGAGGAAGGGGCCGGGGTGGACGTGGTGTATTTGGACTTCGCGAAAGCGTTAGACAAAATTGACCATGGAGTATTCTTCAGAAAATTAAGACTGTTGGGAGTCGGAGGTGATCAACAGCTTCCTAACAGAAAGACTAAAAGCTGTCGTAGGAGGCACGAGATCGAGCGAGGCAAGGGTGAAGAGTGGAGTACCGCATGGAACGGTACTCGGCCCAATCCTCTTCCTCATTCACATCGCCGACATAGATGTGGCAGTGAACCAAGCCTATGCATCGTCATTCGCGGACGACACCAGGATACTACTGACCATAATGGACAGGAGGGACTGCGAGTGGTTGCAAGAAGACCTCTCTGCAATATTTGACTGGGCCCAAGCGAACAACATGCAGTTCAACGAGACCAAGTTTGAGGTTCTGAGATACAGAGGTAGCGGAGGAGCTGGTATGGAATACCGCTACCTAGCCCCCGACAACTCGGAAATCGAAGAGAAGCGACTCGTTCGCGATCTAGTAGTGTTCATGAATACTCAGGTCGATTTGGTGATCACATAGCGGCAGTAACCGCAAGAGGTAGACGACAGATGGGGTGGATCTGGCGAACGTTCAGAACAAGAGAAGCGGAACCGATGATCATACTCTTTAGAGCCCTTGTAAGATCAATTCTTGAATACTGCTGCCAGCTGTGGATCCCGTTCACACTCGGCGCAGTGCGGCAACTGGAAGGTGTCCAGCGAACCTTCGCTTCCAGGATCAGAGGGATGGAAGAGTTGAACTACTGGGAGAGGTTGAAGAGCCTGGGTATGTATTCACTGCAGAGGAGACGGGAGAGGTATGTCATACTGTACACATGGAAAATGATAACCGGAATGGCGCCAAACTTCGAGATAGAGACCTTCAGGATTGGGACATATCACAACGAAAGAAGGGGGAGACTGTGCAAGATCCCCCTCTACGCAACAGATCTGCAGTCGGATTTGTTTTTGGGCAAAATCCCAGATCGACCTCCCCTGCAACAATACAAGCGGCGAGAAGCAAGCAACAGCAACGTGCATCAGCTGGCCCAAATGAGGGCGGATGCGTGATAATCAGAGTCGGTGATCCATCGTGGCCTGGGACTGCTACGTCCTAAACAAATACTAAGGATACCAAGGTGGTTTGGCATGGTATAACACACTCACGTGGCATGGTGGTGTTGCCGCGCTGGCCGATGCTGCAGGGTATGCCGATCTCGATGGGGAGGACAGTGTCCACCACAGGTATGGTGGTCAGGTTGCGCCATAAGAGGTCCAGATCCAGCACCTTGCTGCCCAGAGCAAGCTTTTCGGCGCTGCTCGGTCCTTTCTGCCAGGGGATATTGCTTAATATTCAAATCTCTATTGATTTCAGTATCCATCAGTGTTTCAAAACTGTTGAATTATGGATGTCAAAAGTTGAATATTCTAGTGACTTTACAGACACCAATGAATGAGGCCTGAAGCCGTGCCTACGACGCATCGCACGGGTGACATCAAACACTGAAAATCAACTATTGTCCTACTTTGAATATTATAGTGGAACACATATGGCAGCCAGTCCCTTGTATCTCATGTATCCCCACGCGTAGCGCACCAGCCCCTTATATTCACACAGCAACAGCAAAAGTTATTCAACGATGTATCGATCCATTTAAAATTAAATATTTTGAGTGGCGTTTATGGCATAAGACTCACAAGCTTAAATTAAATATGTAGTATTAATTTTTAAGACGATATTCAAATTATAGAATCAATTTAATAATCAAGAACTGAATATGATCAATTAAACAAAATCAACAGTCAATAAAATGTTCTGACATAAGTGATGGCGGGCCACTCTTTGGCCATGATGGCGACAGGTAAGTTGCAGGGGCCCTGAGGGCAGAAGTTCTCGGGGAACTCGAACGAAGACTCCCCACACCACCGCATCCCCGCCAGGTTGAAGCCCTCAACCCTGGGGAAGCAGGGGGAATGGGGTTGAAGCAGGACATTGTTTCTCAGACTATGGGGCGCTCTCTCTGTCAATGTTCTGAAAATTCGTAAAAATATCTGTCTGTCGGTGTGGTGGCAGGCTAAATGCAAATAAAACCTTATGGCCTTTTTAAGGTTAATATCTGAAAATAGCTAATATTTGTAAAAAAAACTGGGATATGGTTTAATTAAACGGAGCCGCCGGCCATCAAAACGCCAATCAGAGGGTTTTTTCAACGTTTTTTGAAGTGTATGGCGGGGAACGGAAGCATGGCAATTTGGGAGCAACAGAATGGAGGAATTAAATATGATAATGTTATTTAATGCATTTCGTCCTCAAAATAGGAGATAATGTAATTGCAATACCGCAGTGTAAATGACATAAAGCGTTTGTGAAAACTACATTAAAGTAGTGCGGTGTGTTCAGTAACACATTAGTCAGAGTGAACAGGGACTTACCTATGTTTGTTTCAGCACTGCACTACTTCTGCTTAATAAATGCAGATTATCGAGAAGAGGCACTAATTATTAATGGCCCTGCGAAGGAAGTTTACTGAAAAAATGCTGAATTCATCGTAATTTGGCGAGACATAACTTTTTGAATAGCTTAACAATGAGCATAGTTTGAGCGCAAGACCGCGGTCATGTTCTGAGTGGTTAGTTCGTTGTTCAAGCCATTGATTGACGTTATCCAGCGCTAGATGTTCAGGCCTTGTAATATGAGGACGATACCCGTACATGTTTGTACGGGTCAAGTACAGGATATAGGACATGTGCAAGACCCCTTGGGGCTGATGGCCAGTACTCACAGGTCGGTGGCCATAGTTATGCCACTGCCGGAGGTGATGGCCAGCACTCAGAGGTCGGTGGCCATAGTTATGTCACTGCCGGAGGTGATGGCCAGTACTCACAGGTCGGTGGCCATAGTTATGTCACTGCCGGAGGTGATGGCCAGCACTCACAGGTCGGTGGCCATAGTTATGTCATTGTCGGAGGTGATGGCCAGTACTCACAGATCGATGTTCATGGTCATGCCATTGCCGGTGTTGATGGTCTTAGAGTCGCCGATGACCATCAGACTGACCACCTGCTTGGCCAAACTCTCGACCGCCGCGTTGGCGCGGTCCACCTACAAACATAACTCAAATTATTCACGATATCTTAAATACGTTAAATGTCTAGAATGCGATGACATGTGGCCATCGTAGTTCCAATGGACATCGCAGAACTTTGGGTTCTCGCAAGCGTGTAAGTCGCTGGACTTACGATGAGCGGAACTACCTGGCACTATCGCGCATTTCCCATCTCGTACGGCCTGTCTGACAGAGAACTATTCAGCGAAGATCTCGTATGACCTGTTTTACTGAGAACTATTCAGTGAAGATCTCGTATGACCTGTTTGACAGAGAACTATTCAGTGAAGATCTCGTATGACCTGTTTGACAGAGAACTATTCAGTGAAGATCTCGTATGACCTGTCTGACAGAGAACTATTCAGTGAAGATCTCGTATGACCTGTCTGACAGAGAACTATTCAGTGAATATATCGTATGATTTGTTTTGCAGAGAACTATTCAGTGAAAATCACGTATGACCTATTTGACTTAGAATTATTCAGTGAATAAATCGTATGACCTGTTTGACAGAGACCAATTCAGTGAATATCTCGTAGGACCAGTTTTACTGAGTGAAGTGAAGATCTCGTAACTCGTATGACCTAATTGACAGAGAACTATTTATTATCTAGAATTTCCTGCTAGGCGCAGGAAGTGTGTAACTATTAGTATTAGGACAAATGAGCCATGTATGTTTGTGAGTGCATGCTCACGGAGGGGGTGGCGCGGGTCCTGGTGGTGTCCTTGACGTTGCACTGCTTCGCCTCCTTCAGCGTCGCCGGTATGACCAGGTCATCTGGTGGGAGGCAGGACGAGGGTAAGGGTCATGAGGGCAAGGGTCATGAGGGCAAGGGTCATGAGGGCAAGGGTCATTAGGGCAAGGGTCATGACATAATGTCTTTGTCTAGCCAATTGCCATCACCAACAATGTTATTAAAAGCTTCTACTAATATTCATTACCACAGACATTTTGATAAGTCATTAAAAATAATATTCATTACCACAGCTTTTTTTGATCACCAATCTTTTGATCACCAATGATCACTTGAAACAAAATCTAATCAAGCATGAACTTAACCTCCTACTAGAGACTCGCCATACCTCCTACTCATCACCTTCCTAGAGACTCGCCATACCTCCTACTCATCACCTTCCTAGAGACTCACCATTCCTCCTACTCATCACCTTCCTAGAGACTCACCATACCTCCTACTCATCACCTTCCTAGAGACTCGCCATACCTCCTACTCATCACCTTCCTAGAGACTCGCCATA